TTATTATTATAAAAAACTTACCAGATAGTTTATTAATGTCTGGAGAAGGGCAGTGATACTGGAGAAAAAAATCCAACAACTTTCCTTTGTGAACATAAAAGGATCAAAACAACTGATAGAAGTTTTAGATGAATTTGCAGAGAAATAGAGGTGTTGCTCTTGAAAGAGGGTGACTATAATACAGCCAGTATACAACATACTGCAATATATATATACACCGTATGGCAGTACCCTTACAGCTTAACCATTACTTACTGTCTTTAGAGTTCTTGTCCACAGCAGGATACAGAACAGCAGCCTACAGTGGTAAACTGCAAATCTCTGAAGCTGGCTGGGTGAGAAATGGAGCAGGGCTCTGAGTGCTGCTGGATGAGAGTCCAGAATGATCCTGGAGGAAAGAGTTCTGCTGCTTGAGCAATGATCCTGCCATTCCACTGGCTGGGGGGGTGTTGGGACAGATGTGGGAATGGGCTGTAGCTGTGTGAATTCTTTTGCTCATGACCAGATCTCATCTTCTTCAGTCAGGAATAAACAAGTCTCTCTTTTTTTTTTTTGTCAGATGTTGCTGTAGTGGAGAAGCACAGCATAGGTGCTGGTCAGGGATTGTACGATGGTTGTACAATGGGCTTGGTGAATGTGTGCTGCCTTCTAGTTATCCTTATTTGAGGACTAGAATGGAAGTCAGGTTTGTGGTAATTCTCAATGTATTCATGTCGCCCATCGCAATTATAGATGAATGTGGGCACGCTGGGAATGTAGATCCAGTGCTTATCAGTTAGTTGGCTCCTTAGTCAGTGTACCATGCTATTAAGATAACAGTCCTGCCTTCCCTCTGCCTTACAGTATCGCTAGTGACCATTGATGAGTTTCAGCAGGGAAGTGATTCTCTTACTAACCAATTATTTTTGAAATGTGTCTTCAGTAGCATCCAGCTCAGTAAGGTATTGCCAGGGTGCTGATGCTGACAAGAGGGGCAGGTATAGGAACATGTGGCTGCAAAGGGGGCTGGGGGAAACTGCCCGCTTGCCAACAGGTTCATGCTTGTATTGAATTAGTGACTGAAAAGTTGTTCTTTATGCTTGGGTCAGTTGACCCGATAGCATCTGTTTCCTTTCTCTTGAGAAATAAATACCTTATTACCAAAGATGTTTGCATGGATAAGGTGCTGCAGGAGTTATCTGCAGATTTGACCAAAGCAGAGAGATTATATTCCTATAACGACATAAGAGGTGTTCATGTTAGGACATCTGGTATAAAACCAAGTTCTTTTTCTTTACCAATGGTGCTCCTGACTCAGTTCAGAGATCACCTTGTGTCTGTCTTTCCAGAATCTCTTGTAGGTATAGGAAGAATAGAGCACCTTCTCCACCAAATAAACCTTCTATACATTGAGAGAGGGAAGAAAAAAAAAAGCAGATCAGGAATTTCAGCTACTCTGTTCATACAAAGGTAGCAGAAATATTTTTAAAATTGACAAATGAAAGAATCATGAGTTACCTGCTTAATACTATAGGCTCTGTACATAATATATACCTATAATACTATAGGCTCTCTCTGTTAATGCTGTCTGCTTACTGTCTCCATTCCTTCTCCCCTCTCGGCCTGCAAAGGTAAGAAACGTAGTTTTCCTGACATTCAGAAAGATCTCCCTGTTTCCATCAAAACTGGTCTCTCTTGCTGACATTCCTATGCTGATGAAGATGTGCATAGTATTAATGACCAAAAAGAACACTTTTACAGCATGCAATGAAATAAAGGTGAATGGAGAGATTTTTGCCGCCTTAAAACCAATCAATTTAGGTTGATTCTGAAAAGGCAAGAACCATCCAGATGCCTTGGCTCAGGGAAACACCGTGGATTAGCTCTGGTTTTTGTGTGGTGCAAAGCTGTCTGAGCTTAACCTTTGATTCTTCGTAAGGCCCGTACAGCCAGGCCATGCTTGTCTGTTCCTCTCAGATAACAAAGACTGAGTGATGGACTGTATACATTCTTCTGTCTTATATATTTATATAACTTCTGTAGAAATAACTTCTGTGAAGCAGAGATTGAAGTAGTCTTTGATCCTTCACTCACAGGAAAATGTGGATCTGTGTGTATAATTTGCAATGTGTGTTCAATTTTGTACAACTTGAGGCATTTTTTGACTAAACAGAAATGCTTCACTAAGAGTCAATGAAGTAAGCAGTGTAAAATTTATGCTTGAGTTTCTTGGTACTGTAGTGGTCCTGCTACCTCCTGTTGAGTATGAGTGCCAAAAGCAGACTTTGAAATGCCTGCAGTGCCAGCTGCTGGGCTCCCCATCAGCTGGGGTGGGACAGTGGATGGAATCACCGCTCCAGGAGGAGGCGGCTTTGGGACTGAGAAAGGCTGATGAGCAGGAAAGACAAACAGATGTGAAAAAACAGTAGGATAGCAAAAATAATGGTGGTTGGAAATGGGCATTTTCCTTGTCCGTGTTCACTAGAGGAATCAAGATTATCAGTTCCTTCAAAAATGAAATAACTTCCAATGCACATAAAATGAAAGATGTCCCTAAATCTTGTAACTTGGCAAATGGGAGTTTTAAATATCTGTAGGAAAGAGATCGGATGCCCCACTTCATATTTACTCGCATGTGTTATCTTTTTATGCAGGTAATTAAAAAGCCTTTTTAGAGAACTAGAAACCAGTAACTTGAATTATAGCATGTACTTTGAGTTGCTTAACGAAAGGGACCTCAATTTTGTTCTAAGGTAAATATTACAGAATCTATGAAAATTTTAATCTGCTTTTTGTAGTTCTGTTTCAATACTGTTAACTAACAGAATTCTTTTTAATTTTTTTTTTAGACCTATTCAGGGCTGTTCTGTGTAGTTATAAATCCTTACAAGAACCTCCCGATTTATTCAGAAAACATTATTGAGATGTACAGAGGGAAGAAGCGCCATGAAATGCCACCGCACATTTATGCAATATCTGAATCTGCATATAGATGCATGCTACAAGGTAAGAATTAGTTCAATATTACTTAACAGTTAGTTGACAACTCTTTGGAATGTACCTAAAACTCAGGAGCTTTGTTATCCAGCTGTATAATAACTTTTAACACAATCAAAATCTTTTCTAGTACTTAACTTCCACCCGTCCCAGCTTTTCTTATCTAGAACCTTAAAGTTTCAGAATAGAAGTAACTTGGAGGTTAACCCCTATGGCATATTTGGCTGGCTTTCTGAGGCTCAGAAGCAAACTGACACTAACAGGAGGCATACTGTGCCAGCTGGCAGCACTCAACTTTTCAGTAGAAATACCTCTTAAAAAAGGAGGAGATAAGATTCATGTCAAAAGATGTTAGTGCACTGGCTTTGAATGAGGTAAGGATGAAAAAGTGTGATTAAAAAGAGAAAGCTGAAGTATGTTAATGACTTGTCTCTCTAATTCTATGATAATGTTGGTGTTTTAGCAGCTGAAAAATAATCTGAAATGACAATGAAACAATAGTATGTTCGAGTTCAAAAAGAGGTCAGGAAAATGCTTAACCTTGAGGATACTATTTTTTTTTCTCCAAACTGGTATAGATCATGTCTGTAGTACAACAGAGAATAAGTTTATGGCAGGCACATGCTTTGAATTTTGAATTTAAAGCTGTGCTGGACAAATATGAAAACTGTGAATCTGACATTTTATAAATGTGTTGAAATAAACACATGCTATTGCACTTCTGACATAGTGCGTTGGAAATGCAGCTCATGCTATCCAGTATTAGTTCATATTTAGGTGGCTTTTTTACTGATGTGGGAATGCCAGCAAGTTGTATCTGAAAAAGTGTGTGTAATGAAGAGGCAGGTCTGAAAATCTTACCATGTTTTCTGCTATAAACCTGGTATAGATGTAGCGGAAGTAGGGTAAAAGCTATCTGACCTAGTTCACACAAACTGAGGAAACACCGTTTCTGCTGCAAGGTTAACCAGCCATTTAAGGATAAATATTTTTGAAAAAGACATTTCTGGTTTTAAAATAAATCACTGTAAGTCTTCATTTCTTCAGTTGTGCATTTGTCTTTAGGGCTGCTTAATAATAAACTACATACAGGTTGCTGGATTACCCAGTGCTCTTTCACCCCAGAAGAAAACTATGCCATCACCACTGAGCGGGGTGATGCAGGGGTGAGCAATGGGAGAGCAGCAAATTGAGGCCACTAGGAGTTGTCACGCTTCTCAACGGATGTCTGGAGCTCTGTTTGTGTGTTTTTATGAAAGAAAAATTATGGCCTCTTCACCAGAACAACAGCCTCTAACAGCTCAGATCAGAGGTCATCTAATAACAAGTGTAGGTGGAAGAACAGAGCAAACTTTAAAACAATCTTAAGGAGTTTATTCCTAGCAGTCTCAAGAGGCTTGTGGATAAGAGCTTCCCCCTCTAAAAGCACAGTATCTCTTGAAAAGTTCTTGAGACAGATGTCCTTTAATAAAGTAAGTCAATGACAGTAGTTCACGCTTCAGGTGCTCTATATATTTGTTCACCAGTACTGATTTATATCTCTGGAGATCTTGCTGCATGTACAAAACTTACTATTTTTGGAAAATGAAATGGAAAAAAAATTCACCTGGTGGTATATGTGAACAGTCTTGGTTTCTATCCATACAAGTATAGGGAGGTTTATATTTTGTATCAGATCTGTTTGACTTTCTATGCTTGCTTTCTTTTTTGATTTTTATAGTCTGAATTATTTCATGTGAAAGAATGAAGCCATAGATTGGAATAAGAATAGTTGAAAACTATGCAACAGGATCCATTTATTAGGGAATGACTTCTTCAGGGTTAACTAAACCTGTGTTTCTAGTGCCCTTCACGTGCATGGAGCTACTCCCTGTTTATTTTAGCAAGCGATTGCAATCAGCCAGTGAACTTTCTGTTGATGCCTTGCCTTCACAATTGCATTGTCAGGGATAAGTAAAAACTCTAGAACAGACATTAGCATTTTTGTTCTTGGCAAATATTTTACTAAGCAAGCTGTTCTTGCCTGATTAGGGTGAATTGGAGAAAGAGACCTCCAGAGGCAGGGGAAAACAGTGCTGCTTCTGAACTTGAAATGGACTTGTGAAACTGTTTGTGGACACTGCTTCCTTTAGGAGGCAGGTGTTGTACAGATTTCTTCTGGAGATACGCTTGCAGGAAGTGTGAGACTCACTGCTAGTTGTATTGGTGATTTTATGCAATATATAGTCTTGCAAAACTGTGATTGGCCATGATGGGAATGAGTAGTGAGTGAGTATTCCTCTAAAGCAGGGTGAGTGGGGAAGTCTGGCACTAACACTGCTCGGTGCCGGTCCCTCTGCTTACAGAGCCTCTGGTGGGGCCTGATGCAGAGACAAAGGCACATCAGGGAACTTGACTTTAAGTCTCCATATAAATAAAACTTACAGTTGCAACAACTACAGTTTTCTAGTCATCAGAACATCAAATAATACTTGTCTTAATGGTATGAGATATTACAATATTCAATTTATTTTCTGGTTATGAGTGGCAACACAAGGTCAGCTACTGAGTGAAGAATTTGGTAGGGAGAGCTAAGTTTTCCCTTTCAGCCAAGTGTTTAACATAATGCACAAAACATCCTTAATCTTCAAACTGTGCCTTATATTTTGATAGACTTTCAGTCTTTAAGTAATGAAACACAAAACATATATCAAACTTTTGACTAGTAGAAATAGATCTTTAACCAAGCTGTATTAATCGCAGGGCTTCAGATTAAGTCATTGGAGGTCTCTGCTAGCATTTAATTGCAGCGTAATCCTTGACCAAGGTGCTTCTGCTGCTAAGTTACTAACACAGAGTTGTAATTATAAAACCATTCTTCTGCAGTTCATGGCCACATTTGTGCACATAGTTGCTTTGGGAGGCAGAGAGAGGATGATACAGAGTGGGGTAGGGAAGATGAGTTTTCAGTGTTATTTCAAGTCACAGCATTGCTCTTACAGCATATGAATAGGTTTCTTTTGATATGAATGACTTCTGCATTTCCAGTGTTTTTGACATCAAAAGTTTAACTATTAGGATTCAAACCTGAAATTGAAATCATAGGAATGCAATTCCTTTGGGTAATACGACCATACCCTTATAAAAATATCTTGGCCACTAATTTAGGTCAGTGAAGGTGGTTGGTGTATTTTCTTGGCCTTTTCAATAATATTTTGTTCACTATAATCATATTTACTTTGCTTCTAACTGATCACAAGCTACCCATTTTCTAGATGTTTGTGAGATGTGTTCATACTGATTCACAGAATACCTGGACCTGACCTGTGACTCTGAGCAACCTCCTTTTCTAAAACACAGTTTTTCTGTGCTGGTAATGGAGCACAGCCAGTGAACTGTTACTCAGTATCTTAATGCTTTCATGCCTTTAATTCAGAGCATGGATGATTAGAGATCAACTTTGTTTCTGCTGATCTGATGGTTTGTATGTTTAAAATAGTATTTGTGCTTAAACAGCAAAATACAGATTTCTGTTTCAGATTATGAAAGCAAAAGGTTTTTTTGATCAGCAGAAACAAGTGCTACATGTGCATCTCAATAGTTACTCCTTGTGTTAAATGTTCCTAGAAATGCTCCGTCTTGTTAAACTGACAATACAAACGCACTACGCAGTACGCTGTCAGTCAGTAAAAGGTTGTATGGAGGCACTGCAAACTGCCCATGACCAAACTGCTCCTCTATTCTTGTCCCCTTCAAGAATTTCCTGTTTAGGGGGAGCTTCAGCCTTGCAGTCTCCACAGGTCAGCTCCCAGTGTGCCCTTTAGTGGGGAGGAGAATGGGCCGAAAATCAATTTCCGTGCCTGTTAAACATGGAGGACAAAGGGGTGGGGGGAAAAGCCACAAAATAGGGAATGTGTTTAAGAAGTCTGGTTTGTCATTCTGGAGGGGGAGCAGTATTCCCTTGAGAGCTGCACTGAATTAGTGTAAGCTGTTGCAAGAAACAGGGAGGTGCAGAATTGTTTTTAATGGCACAGTGTTGCAGATGAACAGTTAGTGGTGGTGCAGCTGGGATGCACAAGGGATTTGAGACAAGTTTTGCAAGGAAAAGCAAACCTCATGGATTGCTTGACCTCTTAAGTGTTGCCTTTTCTGCAAGACTTCCAGTAAGGATGGAGTGTGAACAGAGTCTTATTAAAAACAAGCAAGGCTTTGGGTGCGTTTTGGTTATGACAGTCAGGATTTCTCTTCAGGAAAAGACTCATTACCTAGTGCCTTGACCTCAGAAGATAATAGCATGCAATTCAGCTTTACATACTGGATTTCCCCTCTCTCTCCCCTAGTAATTATTTTTCAAAGTAGTGTGGTAGTAGTAGGGTAAGTGTTACTTCACAGGTGGTTTAGTGGATTTCTCCCGTGCTTTCTCTTCATTTTCCTAATATTATGTTGAAGCAGTAAGTACACACAACCCAGGGGCTTCTAGGCAGATTGAAACTGTTTAACCCTAGACAGAAATCAAATGCAGAAATGCATAGGGTTGGAGTTGGTGTGCTTCACAAAAGAATGCTAGGCTGAGTTTTTCGCGTCTGCTGGACCGTTGACATGGTCGTAAGGAATCGGTATCCTAATCCCTGTGACAACACTGACCTTAATTCTGTTTGGTAATACAATTTGCAAGACTTGCTAGTGTTTTTCTGTACTGCTATAAGTTATAAGCAGTAAGAAGAAAACATTTTGACAAGGACTAGGGTTTTCTTTAAGAAAACTAATTCTGTCAGTCTAATAGTTCATCTGTGACTGTCTTTATTTTCCTAGCAAGGGAGACTTGATTGTGTGAAAGCAACACTAACATAAATTTTTCTCTAGTGCTTTTACCATATTTGGCTTTACCTTCTCCCTCCTCCTTCCTCCCTTCCTATTCCCCCACTGTATTTCTAGTGGAAGGACAGCACTGTTTTATTGTGCCCCTTTATACATTGTCTCTTAAAAGTGTTTTGGAGGTGATATTAAGGAAAACTTGTTTGCCTTTTGTT